TCGGATTCCCCTGGAACTGGAGTTAAGGATGGTTCATAGCTGCCATGTGGGTGCCGGGAATCGAACCCAGGTCCTCTGCAAGAGCAGTCAGGCAGTCAGTGCTCTTAACTGCTCAGCCATCTCTCCAACCCCAGTTCCAGTATCTTAAAAGGACTCTGGATGGTTCTGGGTGCAATTCTCCTCCCCCATTGGGAGGCTCAAAAGAGACAGCAAAATTTAATTTCCATATTATATGTTTACAATGCACAATGCTGTGACATTCTAAATATAGCACTTCTGTAATTTTGCTTTTATTTATGAGATTATAGTTTATGTTTTCCTTTCCTAGATACATGTTTTATATTACCTATGTATCCCTAGTGTTTAGAAGAGCTGAATGTAGCTCAGGTGATAGCGTGCTTATCTAACACATAGGAAGCTCTGGGTTCAATACCCAGTATAGAAAAGGAATTGGGTGTTGTGGTCATGCCTATAATCCCAGTACTGGAGAGATGGAGGCAGGATTGTAAATTCAAGGTCACCTTTAGCTACATAGTGCAAGGCCAACCTGGGTAACATGAGACAGTCTCAGAAAATAAAAATGTAGCCATCCTGGTGGCACAGGCCTGGAGAGGCAGGCGGTTCTGTGTGAGTTCAAGGCCAGCCTGGTCTACATAGTGAGTTCCAGGCCAACTGGGGCTACAGGGAGCCCTTGTCTCAAAAAGCCAAAAAAAAAAAAGTCTCCCCCTCTTGCTTTATTCCATATCATTTATCACCTTCAAATATTTAATTTAAGGCTGGAGGTGGCTTAGTGGTATGGTACTTGCCTATCATTTCTAAGGCTATGGGTTCCATTCCTAACACTGCAAAATGGGAAAAAAAGAAAAAAAGAAAGAAAAAAAAAAGAAAGGCAAAAAGAGGCTGGTGAGATGGTTCAGCAGGTGAAGGTGCTTGCCACCTGATCACCTGAACTCAATCCCTGGAACCCACATGGTAGGGGAGAACCAAGAACCAAGTTGTCCTCTGATCTGCATACTGGCATATGTATGCCTGGAGGCCAGAGGCATTGGATCCCCTGAGAGCTTGGATTTACCGGCATTTGTGAGCCACCCTACATGGGTGCTGGGAACTGAACTCTGACCTGTGCAAGATCAGTGTGTGCTCTTAACCAGCACCACTGAGCTGTCTGTCCAGCCTGGCTCCCCTCCCCCCATCCCCTTTATCTTTATCCTTTCTTAAAACAGGGTCTTGCTTGGTATGGTTGTGTACACCTTTAATCCCAGCACCCAGGAGGCAGAGGCAGGTGTATTTCTGTGAGATCAAGACCAGCCTGCTCTAATATAGCTAGTTCCGGGCCAGAAGACCCTGTTTCCTTTTTGTTTTGTTTGTTTTTTGGGTTTGTTTTTTTCTTTTCTTTTTTTTGAGACAGGGTCTCCCTGTAGCCCCAGCTGGCCTGGAACTCAGAAATCCCCCTGCCATTGCCTTCTGAGTGCTGGCACTAAAGTGTGTGCCACCACACCCGGCTTTAAAAAATTTTTTTTTTAATTGAATTTTTGTGTATTTCATACATAAAGTCATCTTTATAACACTTCCCCTTTCCCTTTGTCACCCTCACATAGCCCCCGTCCCAGAAGACTCTGTTTCAAAAAATTAAAACCTAAAACAAAACAAAATAGGGTCTCACATAGCCCAGGCTGGCCTTTAACTCACTGTGAGGCAAAGGATAGACCTGAATTTTCTGCCTCGGCCTCCTAAATTCTGGGATTACTGGTGTGTGCTTCCCATCCTTGAGCCTCCTTAGTGCTGGATCACAGACTTGTACTACCATGCTTTGCCCAGGGCTACATACATTTTGAAAGATTGCTTCATGACCACAATAATGAGATTTTTTTTTTTTTTTTCTTAAAAATCTGTAGGGTGTGGTGGTGCACACCTTTAATCCCAGCATTTGGGAGGCAGAAACAGGTGGATCTCTGTTAGATGGAGGCCAGACTGTCTGCCTGGCAAGTTCCAGGCTATCCTGGGCTACACAAACAAACAAATATATATGGTCTCAGGAAATAAGGAAGTTATACTCATAGATATAAATTCACTTGTTACATGTTATCGATCTTTTTTTAGGTCATGTTATAATTTCTGTGTATCTTCATAGTCTGTATATTTTGGCCACCTAATTTGCCCCCACTTTCACTTTCATGTTTAATGTCTTTGTGGAGGAGGGGAGAAGCATCACTAGCTGAGTATCTGAGGGAAGCCATCGCTCTTCTCTTGCTCATTTACACTGATATTCGCAAGTGTTTGACTTTGGAGTTTCTGTTAGAGACTGGGACTCATTTTGTACCTCAGGCTTGCCTGAAACTTACTAGAAACCCAAGTTGGCTTTGCACTCACTGTGATCCTCTGCTTCACCTCCTGAGTGCTGGGATTATAGATGTGGGACACCATACATAGCTTAGTTTTCATTTTGATAGTGTGATTTGTTTTTTGAGACAGGGCCTCATGTCTCTCAGTGTGGCCTAGAACTCCTGATTTTATTGCTTTCACCTCCTGAAAGCTGGAGGGTTAGGGTTAAGTAGGTTGTAGCCATGTGTGGCTGTGCTAGAGTGGTTAGCTGTACTTAGTTCTGCGCCCCACCCCCCACCCCGGACTAAGCATTGAGCATATGCTAGGCAAATGCCCTACCACTGAACTGTATTCTGTATTTTGTTTCATTTGAGACAAGGTCTCACACAGTATAGCCCTGCTGGCCTTGAACTTGCTGTGTAGACAGGGCTGGCCCCAAACCTGGGGCAATCCTGCTTCTTCCTACTGAGTGCTGAATACTATGTTCGGCTGCCCCACTTGTATATGCAAACTTTTGCAAATAATTTCAGAAGATTCCCTCAAGTCATTTCATGGAGTCAGGCGCTCCCCTGCCACTTGGGAATATTGGGAACAGGCACAGAAATTAGGAAAGCTCCCATCTGTTTTTTTTTTTTTTTTTTTTTTTTTTTTTTTTTTCTTTTTCTTTTGGCATATTGGGGATTGAACTCAGGGTGTTGCACGACTAGGCAAGTGTCTATCATTGAGTTGTGTCTGTGGCCCTTTTTTTTTTTGAGACAAGGTCTCAGTTTGAAGCTCAGGCTTGTCTGTCTTAATTCCTGATAATCTCTGTCTCAGCCTCCCTTGTATATGATTACAGGTGTGGTGGTGGCTCACTGAGCTCAAAATTAACTCTTAATGTCTAATGTACATGTCCTCAGTCTTTGCACTCATTTCTTTATATACCACAGTTGTAGACCAGCCACTCCTCAATGGACCATTATTTTGAATAGCGTAGCTTCAGAGAATTGGTCTGTATTTTGGAGAAGGAAAAACAGTGCTATTTTGTAGTTGTGAAGGACCCCATAGTCAAGAGTGTTGCTTATGATCTGGAAGAGAATTGCTTTTGTTGCCTGGGATTGAACCCCAGGCTGTACACATGCTTAGAATGCACCCCTTCACTGAACCACACCCTCCAGTCTTGAGGTTATTTATTTTGAATTTAGGTGTGGTGCTGCATACCCATTAATTCCAGCAGTAGGGAGGCTGACACATGGTTGTGAGTTCTAGGCCAACCTGTGTTACTTAGTGAGGTCTGAGAGATATAGAAATATTTATTCTGAATAACATCTTCATCCCTCAAGCAAGTTTCAGTAAAAATTTAATCATCTCTGTAGAGTGTTGATGTTGGAAGAGCTCACTAATGAGACCAAAATGAGAAAGCTTAGAGTTGAAATCATAGATTTTATTTACATGGAAATATTGGTCTGTTCATTTAGGAGATTGCTGGATCATTACATCTGGAGGACGAGTTTGATCACAATATTGTGAATATATTGGCATTTTAAAGGTAGAGGTTTAATAAGATTTCAGTTTTAAGGGGCGATATTTCCGCAGTACTGTACCTCACTAAAATATTGCTGTTAAACTTCATAAAATTGACAAATTTATTATAGTATATTTTATTTGAATATATATGTAAGTCCAGGGAAATTCTGAGAGCATGTTCCAAGTATGTTAGAAATTGGAAATTACAGTAACATTTTATTGTAATCTATGTGTTTTTATAAAGAGCTTGGTAATGAATGATTGACCTTCTTGAAAGCTTTCAGAATTTATCGAGAATAGAAGAGGCGCCTGGGCCTCAGCTGCGGTAAATTACAGCCTAACTGAATGCTGATTGTATTTTAGACTGTAGTCAAAAAGAAATGAAAGCTCCAATGTTCATAGCTCATGGTTTTGAATGTTTTCATACGTGAAGGTAAAGTAAGTACTACTAAGATTACTGACTGTGTGGACTCCAGGGAACTGGAGAATGTTTTTCCAGGTCCATTCTGTGTGGTGCCTGCTGCACTTACAGAGGTTTACCATAGCTGAGTGTCAGATGCTTAGGGCAGGGTCTGGAGGATGTTACACTTAATCTGTGGTATGTGACAATGAGTTTGAAGAGGACTGATTGTAATGTCACAAATAAATTATATGTGGCTTTTAATATTTGAGGGATTAACCTGGCATGGTTGTGTAGGAGGCAGGATGATCAGGAGAGGAATTCATGGCCAGGCTAGTCTACAGGAAACTCTGTCTCAAAAACATACAAAATTAGGGGTATTGCTCTCTCTCTCTCTCTCTCTTTTTTAAAATAGGATCTCCTTGTAGCCCCAGCTGGCCTGGAACTCCCTATGTAGACCAGGCTGGCCTCAATCTCACAGAGAGTCACTTGCCTCTGCCTTCAGAGTACTGAGATTAAAGGCAAGCACCACCAGCACTGCCTTCTGGGAATCATGCCTTGGAGTAGGGCTGAAACTTCTGACTTCTTCCTGAGGGTCTCCCCCAGCTGACCTGAACTCACTATGTAGACCAGGCTGTAGACCAGGCTGGCCTTGAACTCACAATGATCTGCCTGCCTCTGCCTCCTGAGTGCTGAGATTAAAGGTGTTTTTATTGTATTTATTATTTATTAATATTTTATTATTTTTATTTTATGTGTATGCGCGTATTGCCTGCATGTAGTTAAGTGCACCTGTGTCATGCAATGCCTGCAGAGGACAGAAGAGGTTGTTGGATTCCCTGGAACTGGAGTTATGGACAGTTGTTAGCCATCACGTGGGTGTTGGGATTTGAACCTGGGTCTTCTGCAAGAACAGCCAGTGTTCTTACCCTCTGAGCCATCTCTCCAGCCCCTTTATTTTATTTTTTAAAATATTTTATTTATTATTTTTATTTTATGTTATGTGTGTTTTACCTGCATGTAAGTAAGTGCACCTGTGTCGTGCAATGCCCGAGGAGAACAGAAGCTGTCAGATCCCCAGGAACTGGAGTTACAGACAGTTGTTAGCTGCCATGTGGGTACTGGGATTCGAACCCAGGTCTTCTGTAAGAACAGTGTTCTTAACCACTGAGCCATCTCTCCAGCTCCTCCCTGAGTTTTTAAAACAGGGTCTTATGCTGTCTTGGAGCTCCTGAACCTCTATGTAGATCAGATTAGCTTCTAACATTTTGTACTCCTCCTGTCTCAGGCTTCGAAGTGCTGGGATTATAGGTATGTGCCACCACACCCAGCAGTGGCATTTAGGTACATTTTTATCCTTGCGCTACATCCTAGGTTCCATAGCCATGTGACTTTTATTTTTCTTATTTCTTAGACTGCAAGTGGAAACGTGGAAGCAAAAGTAGTGTGCTTTTACAGACGACGTGATATTTCCAACACGCTTATAATGCTTGCGGATAAGCATGCTAGTAAGTGAAATGTTTTCCTTTTGGATCAGAAAAATGTTTTGTGTTTTTCATGACATGAGGAAAATGCTTTTGCTTTTTTAAAAAATATTTTATTTATTATTTTTATTTTATGTGTATGAGTGTATTGCCTGCATATATGTGAGTGCACCTGTGTGTTACAATGCCGAGGAGGTCAGAAGAGGGCTTCAGAGTCCCTTGGAACTGGAGTTAAGGACAGTTGGTAGCTGCCATGTGGGTGCTGGGAATCGAACCCGGGTCCTCTGCAAGAGCAGTCAGTGCTCTTAACCACTGAGCCATCTCTCTAGCCCCTCTTTGCTTCTTTAAAAAATTTTTTTTTATTTATTATTTTTATTTTATATGTATGAATGTATTGCCTGCATGTATGTGAGTGTACCCATGTCGTGCAGTGCTGTGGAGGTCAGAAGAGGGCTTCGGATTCCCCTGGAACTGGAGTTAAGGACAGTTGGTAGCTGCCATGTGGGTGCTGGGAATCGAACCTGGGTCCTCTGCAAGAGCAGTCAGTGCTCTTAACTGCTGAGCCTTCTCTCCAGCCCCCCCCTTTGCTTCTTAAAGAAAAAAAAATTATAGTATGTGTGTGTGGGGGTCACTCACATGCCATGGTGCCTGGAGTCAGTTCTGTCTTTTCACTTTTGTGTGGGGGGTCCATGGATTGTCAGGGTTATTGGCATATCCTCTGAACCATCTAGTGGAACCCCTGTTTTGCTCTAATTTTCCTTGTGGTAAATGGGAGTAATTTTTGGTGTGGTAAATTTTGATGTGGTATGGTGTTTTTATGTGTGTATGTGTACAAAATACAAAAATGTAATTTATATGTACTAATATGATTTGTATCTATTAAAATTTATTATTTATTTTTATTTTTTGTATGAGTGTATTACCTGCATGTATGTTCTGTAATGCCTGCAGAGGTCAGAAAGGGTGTCAGATCCCCTGGAACTGGAGTTATAGATGGTTGTTAGCCACTGTGTGGGTGCTGGGAGTTGAACCCAGGTCCTCTGCAGGTGCAGTCAGTGCTTCTAACTGCTGAACCATCTTTCTAGTCTTGATTTGTGTGTGTGTGTGTGTGTGTGTGTGTGTGTGTGTGTATAAAATTTTTGTTTGTGTGGTGGCAGGAATTGAACTCAAGACATCATGCATGCTACATGCATGCTACCTCTGAGCTACATCCCAGCTCCAGTTGGCTTTCTTTAGTTTGCATCATGCATACTTTTATTAGTGTTACATATTGTTTTTTCTCTTAAAATTTTAGTTTTTTAAATTTTATGTGCATGAGTGTAATGCCTGCATGTATGTAGTAAGCACACCTGTGTCGTGCAAGGCCCATGGAGAAGAGGGTGTTGGATCTCCTGGAACTAGAGTTATGGATGGCTGTTAGCCAGCGTGTGGATGCCGGCAACTGAACCCAGATCCTCTGAAAGAGCAGCCAGCACTCTTAACCACTGAGCCATCTCTCTAGCCCCTTTTTTCTTATTTTTGAGACAGGGTTGCCTATGTAACCCTGGTTCTGCCCCCCAGTTCTGGGATTAAAAGCATGGGCCAATGTGCCCTGCTAGTTAGCATATTGAAATAAAAGTTTTTGAAAGTGGGCTTTAGCAAACGGGAGAGTGTTTTGCCATTGTTTGTTTTGAGTGGTGCTTTCTTTGAGGGTACAGATTTAAGGAAATTTACATTTCATTGGTATTAATGGAGAATACTTTTTCTCTGTCTAAAACAACTGAGTAATCTTTAACTTTTTTTTTTTTTTTTTTTAGCAGCAATTTTCTGTGTAGGCTAAACTTGCCTGGAACTCATGATCTTCCTACCTCGCCCTCCTAAGTGCTTGAGTGCTCTAAATGTAGACCTGTGTTACCATATCCAGCTAATATTTACATTTTTTTCACCTCAGTGTTTATTATTACATATTTATGCTATTAGGTATTTATAAAAATAAAATTTTGCCAGAAAAATAAATTACCAAGTCTTATTTAGATATGGAGAATTCTGGGACTTGGAGAGTTGGCTCGGCGGTTAAGAACACTATTCTTGCAGAAGACCAGGGTTTGAATCCCAGCACCCACATGGCAGCTAACAACTGTCTATAACTCTAGTTCCAGAGGATCCGACAGTCTCTTCTGTCCTCCCCAGGCATTGCACGACATGGGTGCACTTACCTACAGGCAGGCAGCATATGCATACACATAAAATAAAAATAATAAATAAAATATTAAAAAAGATACGGAGAATTCTAACAAGTGTGGTTTTTTGTAGCTTATTCGTGTATGTAATGTATGTACAGGTGCAATGTGGGGGTCAGGGGTTGACATCAGGATATTTTCTTTTGTAAGACAGAGTTTCATGTAGCCCAGGCTACCTTTGAGCTTGTTATGCAGGTGAGTCTGACCTTGTAACCCCGATATTCCTGCCTCTACCTCCCAAGAGCTGGGATCACAAGTGTGGGCCACTCCTCCTGGATGTTTGCTTTCTATCGCTTCTGACCATGTCTTTGTTTTGAGATAGGGTTTTTACGCTGTACTCTGAACTGATAATGTAGCCCAAGCTGGCCTTGAACTCTTGGCAATCTTGTCTCATCTTCCTGGTGCTGAGATTACAAGCAGGAACCACCAAGTCTGGCTTGAGTTCTTTGAGATTCTAGATGTTTAATCCCCCATCAGATACTTAGTTGGCAAAAACTTTCTTTCCTATGTGGACCGTCGACTCATTCTGTTGATGTTTTTCTTTGCTATGAAGCTTTTTAATTTTATGCAATTTCATTGGTCAATTTTTAATATTATTTCTTATCCCGTTGGAATACTTTTCAGAAAGTCCTTGTCTATTCCTATGTCTTGAAGTATTTTTTAGGTCTTACATCTATTTTGAATTGATTTTTGTACAGGTGAAAGGTAGGGATTTAGTTATTCTTCTACAGATGCCTGTCTACTTTTCCCAGTACCATTTGTAGAGAACAGTTTTTTTCTCCTCTATTGTATGTTTCTGACCCATTTTCCAAAAGTTCAGTGATTGTAGTGGTGTGGGTTTGTTCCTAGGTCCTCTATTCTATGCTGTTCAATTGCACTGGTCTGTGTGTCTTGCGCCAGTACATGCTGTTGTGTTACTATGGCTCTGAAGTATAATTTGATTTTTGTGGGTTTTTTTTTTTTTTTTTTTGGAGACAGTCTCCCTGTAGCCTCATCTGGCCTGTAACTCTCTATGTAGAGCAGGCTGACCTTGATCTCACAGAGATCCACCTGCCTCTCTGCCTCCCAAGTGCTAGTATTAAAGGCGTTTGTCACCACGCTGGGCTGGAGTATAATTTGAGATGAGAGCTTGTGATAACTCGCAGCATTGCCCTTTCTGCTTAGGATTGCTTTATTCGGTATTAAACTCTTCAGTGTTATTCAGAGTTTTTGTGCTTTCACGTGAATTTCAGGATTCTTTTTCTATCTCTGCAAAGAATGTCACTGGGATTTTGATGGGAATTGCACTGAATTTGTAGATGACTTTTGTCAGTATATCCATTTTCACAATGCTCGCGGATCTGTGTGCATGGGCTGCCCTTCTGTCTTCCAGTGCCATCTTTAATTTTTTTTTTCAATGTACTTTGTTTTTTGAGAACAGGGTCTCAGTGTATCCCAGGCTGACCTCAAACTTGCTGAAAATGATCATGAATTTATCCTCCTGCCTCCACTTCTCAAGTGCTGAGATTACAGGAGTATAACACTATTCCTGGTTTATGTGGCACTGGGGAGTGAACCTAGGGCTTTGTGTGCTAGGCAAACACTGTACCAACTGAGCAATATCCCCAGCCCGTCTTCTTCAGTTTTGTCCTTTAGTTTCATTCTTCATTGGTTTCAAGTTTTCATTGTAGTGACCTTGACCTCCTTGGTTAGGTTCATTATTAGACTATTTATTTATTTATTTATTTATTATTTGTTTATTTGACAGGGTCTCATAGTCCAGGCTAGCCTTGGACTCACTATATAGTTGAGGATGGCTTTGAACTCTTGATCCTTCTGCTTCCTGAGTGCTGAGAGTACAGGTGTGTGCCACCACGCCTGGATATTTAATTTAATTTAATTTTATATTTTAAGAATGTTTATTTTGTGGGGTGTGTGTGTGTGTGTGTGTGTGTGTGTGTGTGTGTGTGGTGTGTGTGTGTGTGTGTACGTACAAGTGCAGGTGCATGCGGAGGCCAAAGGATTCCCCGAGGCTGGAATTATAGGCAGTTGTGAGCTGGGAATTGAACTCAAGTCCTCTGCAAGAACAGTATATGCTTAACAGCTGAGCTATCTCACCAGCCTTTATTTATATAGTTTGTTTTGATGCTATTGTGAATGCGACGTGACAGTTTTTCCTCTTGTAGCCCAGGCTGACCTTGGATGCATGCGGAGGCCAAAGGATTCCCCGAGGCTGGAATTATAGGCAGTTGTGAGCTGGGAATTGAACTCAAGTCCTCTGCAAGAACAGTATATGCTTAACAGCTGAGCTATCTCACCAGCCTTTATTTATATAGTTTGTTTTGATGCTATTGTGAATGCGACGTGACAGTTTTTCCTCTTGTAGCCCAGGCTGACCTTGGACATGCTGTGTAGCTAAGAATGATATTGAACATCTGGTCCTCCTCCCTCCACTTCCCAAGTGCTGGGATTATAGGCATGGGCCACCACACCTGGTTAATTATTGATGTTTTATGTTGATATTATTTCCTGCTACTTTGTTGAAACTGTTGATTGGCTCTAAGAATTTTTTTTGAGACAGGGTCTCACTTTGTACCCTAGTTAGCTTGGAACTTGTTATATAGATCAGGCTAGCCTCAAACTCAGAATTTCACCTGCTTCTGCCTCTCAAGTGCTGAGATTAAAGGTGTGCACTATCATGCTTAATTTTGTAGGTTTTAAAAAAATTTTAAATTTGGCCAGGCATGGTGGCACACGCCCAGCACTTGGGAGGCAGAGGCAGGTGGATCTCTGTGAGTTCAAGGCCAGCCCGGTCTATTCCAGGAC